AATATTTTATAGATATAAACAAAACATGATAACAATAAATATAATTTCTTACAATTAGATCGATCTTTTTTAAATAATTGTTAGTAACAATAAATCTATTGTGTAATAACAAAAATAAGTATATTTTTGTTCATAAGTTTCTGCAAGTTCAGCTTGTTGAAGTTTCAGGTTTATTTGTGGGCGTTTTATCCAATAAGTGAAAACTTATCTAAAAAATATCTTTTAAAAGATCTGCAAAAACAATTTTGAATTGTTTGTCGCATATAAAAAATACATAATATGCGTGATCAAAGGTCAAGGGTAATTAATGGATAAAATCTAATACATTTTGGTGATTAGATAATTTTAAGACTTCAATTATAAGAATTATTATTTTTTATTTAGAGTATAATTCAATATATATTATACCTACCGTAAAAACATCCGTGATATTTGACAGAATGGACATCGTATTTTAATCTGGTTGATTTCTGGTAAAAAAAGTCTGGGTATTTCGTCACTGAAAAAATTTAAAAAATAAATACCTAAGAGTATTTTTTAAGTGCCACTGCGTTAGAATCCAAACGGAAACCAGCTTGTCGGTGGCTTTTATTTATGTAGTACTTGCTGATTTGATGTTATTTTTACAGAGGTGTCATACAGAGGTGTGCAGTCCATGGAACCAGCACCGCTTCCCTATACGTGGAGACAAAAAAGAACGTTTTTTAATTAATTCATAGTCATTAGTATGAATTTAGATAGTCGGTATCATAACATAGGTTTTCTCTAAAAGACTCCATAAAGAACAAAAATGCGCCTATTAAGCTTGTTATTATTGATTATCACTTGTCGGAAACGAATCGAAACGAAACGAACAGAACGAAAACATTCTGGCTGAAATTCTTTTATTTCAGCCGGAATGTTTTCGTTCCGTACCTTTAAGGTTGTCGCCCACTAGACCGCTGCGCGGCGCGGCGCTGGGAAGAGAATTTTTTCCGGCTGCGAAGGGACTGCGCCCACTATAGCGCGCCTTTGAAACGCGGCAACGCTATTTAGTTATAGTCGAAGTGTTTTTTACTTACTGTAGTTTAGTTTTTACAGCAATGAGTTCAAGTACGGACGAAAGCGTATTTTTTGTGCTCTTCTAACAGAGGAAGGGGAAGAGGGGGTGAGGAAAAGTTTGGACTCATACGATTAACAAAAAAAGAAAGAAGTCTGGAGAATTTTACTATCTTTTTCCAGATTTAATAAAAGACAAGATCATTTTTTTCAGTATTACAAAATATAAAGGAAACATTTTACGCACTCCTCAATTGAGGGTTTTAGAAGCAAAACACCGGGTATCTCTACTCATCATATTTTTTCAGAAGAACAAATTACTAATACTTTTGATAATTCTTATTTATTCTGATGTGTATATTAGCTATGCGGTAAAAAAACCCTGATCTTTTTTATATATTTAGGTAATTAGAATTTAAAAATTGGAGATTGTCACTTTTGTTAAAAAGTGGGGATTGCCGGTTTTGCCTCTACACCCCTCAATTATATTAAATCTTTGATAGAAAGGCATTTCGTCCATCTGTCTCTAGTGAGCGAGGGAAGACTACAAAAAAAATTATCATATTCCTTTATGAAAATCGATTTGCCTAATTTACCTTTAAAAATACAATTCTACCAGTGATACGTATCACTAGTTCCTAGTCAAAAAGCCAACTGAAAAGACTCGAATGCAATTATTTCCCTTGTGAGTACGCCCACTGCAACGCGTCAAAACGCGGGAGACGGAAAAAAATTGCTAGAGAAGTCTTCCGACTTCTTGACGAAAATCCCGCAGCGCGCTTCTGCGCTGCGCGCTCTAATGTGCGTTGGTCCATTTAAATACATGGCAAGCAGACAAAAGAAATTTCCACATGGCGCCGCGCCGCGTCGCGCCGCGTTCTAGTGGGCGACAACCTTTAAGCTCCGCGCGCACTGCATCGGATCGGGCCGGCGAGAAACGGCGAAGGCGATGACTCGACTATCGTAGATAGGTAGAGGTAGGAATCTGGCCTCTACAGACCGAAATGTTTTAGTGGACGCCGGCGCCGTCTATATGTACGATGGTCGCAGTCGCTTTTGCTGGTCGGTCCGATCCGATGCAGTGCGCGCGGAGCCTTAAGGTTGTCGCCCACTAGAACGCGGCGCGGCGCTGCGCTGGGAAGAGATTTTTTTCCGGCTGCGAAGGGACTGCGCCCACTATAGCGCGCTTTTGAAACGCGGAAACGCTATTTAGTTAGTCGAAGTGTTTTTTACTTACTGTAGTTTAGTTTTTAAAGCAATGAGTTCAAGTACGAACGAAAGCGTATTTTTGTGCTCTTCTAACAGAGGAAGAGGAAGAGCAGGTGAAGAAGAAAAGGAAAGTTTGGACTCATAAGATTAACAAAAAAAGAAAGAAGTTTGGAGAATTTTACCATCTTTTTCCTTATTTAATAAAAGACAAAAGCATTTTTTTCAGTACCTATTACAAAATGTAAAGGAAACATTTTACGAACTCCTCAATTAAGGGTTTTAGAAGCATAACACCGGGTATCTCTACTCATCATATTTTTTCAGAAGAGACAAATTACTAATGATGCAATAATGAATCGCTTATAGCTGACGACTTTTGATAATTCTTATTTATTCTGATGTGTATATTAGCCTTGTTTATACAGGGTGTTTCAAAACAAATGCGAAAAATTTTAGGGGGTGATTCCTTGTTCAAAATAAAGGGTAGTTTGTTTTATAAACGTTGGGTCAAAAGTCAACCATTAGGGAGATATCGCGGTACAAAGATGGCGGAAAAATAATGTTTTTATTTTTTATCTTGAAAACGAAAAGATAGACTAATGAAATTTTATGGAAGCATTACTGTTATGAAAACACACTTTCAGGTAATTTTTTACTTTTTAAAATGAGTGGAAAGGGGTTGAAATAAACTACCCCTATCATTCTTGTTAACGAAAATTAAAGAAAAATCTTATCAAACACATGCAAATGCTTTAATTTGGATAGTTTAGTTTGTTTAGACACTTTTTATCTCTTGTGTTTTTGATAAAACTCACCGATTTGAAATTAAAAAATAAAATGTAAAGCATTACATGTCAGGACAAAAAAATTTTTAGATTAAGAATCTAGTGATAATAACGATAATAATAATCATCTAGATAATAACGTATTGCAGTAGAGTAATGTCAAATAAAATAATATTAGGAACATATAAAAAGTAACAGCGGCCGACTAGATTTTTCAGCAGCCCACTAGATTCTTTATCAGAAAATGTTTTTTGTCCTGACATGTAATGCTTTACATTTTATTTTTTAATTTCAAATCGGTGAGTTTTATCAAAAAAATACAAGAGATAAAAAAGTTTCTAAACAAACTAAACTATCCAATTAAAGCATTTTTGTATGTGTTTGATAAGATTTTTCTTTAAATTTCGTTAACAAGAATGATAGGGGTAGGTTATTTCAATCCCTTCCACTCATTTTAAAAAAGTGAAAAAATTACCAGAAAGTGTGTTTTCATAACAGTAATGCTTCCATAAAATGTTATTAGTCTATCTCTTTTCGTTTTCAAGATAAAAAATAAAAACATTATTTTTCCGCCATCTTTGTACCGCGATATCTCCCTAATGGTTGACTTTTGACCCAACGTTTATGAAGCAAACTACCCTTTATTTTGAACAAGGAATCACCCCCTGAAGTTTTTCGCATTTGTTTTGAAACACCCTGTATATTCTTATATTAGTTATGTGATGAAAAAACCCTAATCTTTTTTATATATTTAGGTAATTTGAATTTAAAAATTGGAGATTATCACTTTTCTCCAAAAGTGGAGATTGCCGGTTTTGCTTCTACACCCCTCAATTATATTAAATCTTTGATAGAAAAACATTTCGTCCATCTGTCTTTAGTGAGGGAAAACTAAAAAGATATCATATTCTTTTTTAAAAATCTGTTTGCCTAATTTACCTTTCAAAATGCAATTCTACCATTGTTACGTACCACTAGTTCCTAGTCAAAAAGCCAGTGAAGAGACTCGAGATGCAAAATTATTTCCGTTGTGAGTACGCACACTGCAACGCGCCGAAACGAGGGAGACGGAAAAAAGTTGCTAGAGAAGTCTTCCGACTTCTTGACGGAAATTCCGCGGCGCGCTTCGACGCTGCGCGCTCTAATGTGCGTTGCTCCATTTAAATACATGGCAAGCAGACAAAAGAATTTTCCACATGGCGCCGCGCCGCGTCGCGCCTCGGTCTAGTGGGCGACAACCTTTAGTCTTATCAGAACGTTAACAGATTTAATAGACATACATATCTATTTATCTAACATTTTAAATAATTTTAATATAACTTTAAGTAGTTTGACGCGACAGGGGGTAATATACCCCTGAAATCTTAAACATTTTTTGTTGGTTAGACTACAGTTGGTTACTAGTAAAAAGACAAACTGGTTTTCTCTTGGATTACCTATATTATGCAGTGGTTTTTTACAGAGAAATACCTTTTTAATTTTTCTATTTCAGTGGCGCAATAGATCTTGTTCCAGTTGTGCTAATCACAATTTAAAAATTAAATTAATTAAAGAAAAAATCAATATATAAACGTCCATTGTCAAAAAAAGAATGTACTAGCCTAGCGATAACCAGTAGATATTTTTCCATTTCTCGGTCAACGACCCAGGTACGTCATCATCGTGGTTGATTCCAAAATGTTTTGATTTTTTAGTCTTTTATTTCAGTGGCCAATTCGAAGAAAGTTGCAGGAATAAGTAGATACTTAATTTGATTTTTTTTTGAATATTATAAAACTATAATTAAAAATAAAGTATGTTATAGAATATTATAAAAGACTTAATTACTACTTAAATTACTTACACTAAATAATAAGAATATTATAAAACATTTATTCACATATAAAAATTTCACTTATGCTTTTATGATAAAACATATTTTTGATACTAATAATATAATTTAATGATTAACGATAAAATTTGTTATCTATTAATATTACACAAATTACACTAATGTGTGTATAGTCAGCATTATTAACAAATAATATAATTTGTTTGTCATCTTTAAGGATATTATTGTAATTAATTATTCATAAATTTTTAATAAATATTATTATTAGCGGACACTGTTCTTACTCATGGTATGGGTGACATTTTGTTGTTAAAAGGTTTAAGTTAAAATGTTATTAATTATATAGCATGTCTGAATTTTTTGGGATATTTGAATCTGCAATTTACTACTTATGAAATATTTTTTTTGGTCTTTGTTTGGTGTTTACATTTTGCTTTTAATAAAATGATATCTTAAATTCTGGGGTTATCCCATCTAACGTTGGTTTACTTGAGTTATCTAGCGAGAACTCTCTATAGTATGGATGGGGCAATGTTGCCATCACGGCGTACTCAAAATACCGCTACACGCTGCAAAACGCTACAATCTGAATTTCCCTTAATGGAATTTCCTATAATATAGGAAGTTCCATTAATAATATTTTGTAGTATGTAGCGGTATTATTGTGTAGCTTTTTATTACAATTATTGTAAGTTTGCAAAATCCAGAAGTAGTAGAAAATCATTTCTTTATCCAACCCAGGGATATTTGTTTACTGAAACCGAAGGGGCATTAGCAGCAATACAAGACCAAGTAATTGCAACTATAAGCTATAAGAAGTCCATATTAAAAGAGAACTTACCTGATACATCCTGCCGCATGGGGTGCAAACAGGGGTTTCTACTTGTTTATAAATATCCAGCATATCACTACAGCTTGACACTTCAAGCTACACTCATTTGGCTCTTACAGAATACCGACACAATGAAGTAGCCAAAATTATCCACCAACTGGGTAAAACAAAGCCTAAAGCAATAATTCAAAATGATTCTGCTAATCTTTATTCGGATATGAGCATAATTACAGATAAACTAGTACTCAATAATAGTCCTGATATCATGCTGTTCGAAAAGGATAATAAAGAACTTACCATTATAGACGTGTCAATTCCTGTAGATGACATAGGCAGGGCGTACAAGTAGAAGATAGATAAATATGAGGGTCTAAGCGCTAAGCTGAAACGAGTTTTGAATCTAAAAACCGTAAAAATTTTGCCAAAAATTATTACCTACTGTCAACGGTTTGATACATAAAAACTTACCTGATATTTTAAGGCGTTTGGGAAGATCAGTCCTTGTCCTATTACAAAAAGCAGAAATTCTGGGCACTAGAGCAATTGTGAGACGGTTTCTAGCCAGATGATTTGGAAATGTGGTAGCCTTGGTTAAACCCCGACTAGCGCATATGTTTATTGGTTTGCATGAAATAAGAAAAAAAAATTCTCTTTTATTTTTATGGGCACAAATTCCGCTACCTACAATGATTAACTCCGATAAACGGGGTAAATATCAATGAATTCCGAATATCAAAGTAAGATCGTAACTTTCAAAGTAAAAGATCATACGTTGACCAGCTGCCACCGGCTGTGGTTTGAATGATTTAATCGTCCTAGCATTATAGTTGTTTAGAAATTGTCAGAGTAAATTATATTACACTCAGATGCAAAAAAACGCAACGGAGAAATTTTTGGCCAAATTTAAAGTGTCATGTTTTTGTTATTTTTAGCCCTATTTTCATGATTTTTTTAGCAAACTGTATATTATTATATCAACTTTAATTCTTAAACTAAGTTTTTTTATAAACTTTAGTATTTGGCATATTATACAGGGTTAATCGGGGGATGGTTTTTTTTGGCTCAATTTTCTTTTACTTGAAATCAGTTATGTAAGAAATATTTGTTTATTTAGTATTTGGAAGCCTTTTCGAATATTATGTTATAAAGAATTTTCTGCGGAAATCCACCCTTTTCGAGTTTTTCAACTTTAAAATAGCTGAAATCAGGGCTACTTTCGTTTACTTGAAATCAGTTATGTAAGAAATATTTGTTTATTTAGTATTTTGAAGCCTTTTTGAATAGTATGTCACAAAAAATGTTCTGCGAAAATGCATAATTTTCAGTTTTTCAACTTTAGAATAGCCGAAACCAGTTACATGAAAACACGTTTCTGTTTTTTATTCTAGAATTTTTTTTAACATAGATACGCAAAAATAACTTCTTGCGGAAGTGTACCATTTTCATTTATTGAAAAAATATTGTAAAATATAGCAAGATTTGAAAAGTACTGGGCAATTGGAATTCGTAAACAGAGAGAGAGAGAGAGAGAGAGAGAGAGAGGGGGGGTATTGATTCATAGAGCCAAAAAAACAACAGCCAGGGTTTTTTAGCGCTCAATAATAAGCTTTATTTAATATGAGGATATTTTAAATTATTTTAAGTTAGAAATTAAAGTTTTTTCGTTATGTTGATGCTATCTAAGAATTCCATAACTTTACCAATCTTCGAAATGTTAAAAGGCGCGAAAATATTCTCATAGGTAACAGCATTAAAGAATCTAGACCTATGGGAGGCAACAGGTAAGCATTCAAAAAGAGTGTCTCATTGACATTAAGTTATTGCATAAGGTGCATTTCGGAGGGGGGTCATTTCCGATAATATATGATTTGGTAAGACATGAGTGCCCTGTGAGGGTTCTAACAACTTTATAGAAAGATCCGCGTTCAAGAGAATATATATTTTGATACAGATTTTTTTTTGTGGAAATTTCTGAAATCGACAACGGATGGAGTTCCTTCAATATTCTGTAAGAGCGTTGCCTCGTTAGCCAGTCTGTTTGCTCGGTCATTACCAGCAATGTCAGAGTGTCCAGGAATCCACATAAAGTTAACATTGTAGTTTCTTTCAGTAAGTTTATATACTAGATCTCGAATGCTGCAGGTTAGAGAGTTTTTGGGGTTTAAAGAAACTTTACTGTTGAGGGAACTAAGTGAATCAGATAGTATTAATGCTTCAATCGGTGGCATGCTCCGAATTTGGATAAGAGCCTGATAAATAGCTGTGAGTTCGGCTGTTAAAATGCCAGAGAAATTAGGTAATCTGATTTTTTTATTAGCAACCGGGCTGTAAAAAGCACAGCCAACATCTTGGTCAGATTTCGAGCCATCTGTGTAAAAACAAATATAGTCACGATATTTTTCGTCTAAAATTTGTATTAGACTAGTTTTTTCTTTGTAACAGACGCGTGGTTAGGTTAGGTGTTGTTGATTTGGTTTGTTGTTCTCGGTACGGTATTGATGTCTGAATTACAGTATCTACTAGGTTAAGTTTCTACCTACACAAGAAAAGTGTTTAGAATGTAAAGCCGGAACACGTTTTCATGTAACAGTTATTGTTCAGTTATTGTAAAGCCGGAAAAATGAGAATGATGCATTTCCTCACAGAAATTTTTATGATTTTGTGTTTGGGGAGGCTTCTATATACTGGATGTTTTGTTGATTTTTTATAAGCGATTTCAAGTAAAAAAAACTTACCCTATTATTTACCTATTGCCACTGAGTACTCTGAATTATACGTCCTGGTTCCATTTTTTATGATTTCGGATAAAAAAACTATAATGCATTGCCATACAGTAGTACTCTTAATTTCTATCATACAAGACATTAAGCCGGTGCGATTTGTAACAATTTTTAATTTGATAGGTGCACGTCGCCGACGAATAATAACTAGTTCCAGGCATGACCGAGCAAAATTTCAACCGTTTCCACTAAAACCAAGTGAGTACGACCACGCTAGGTACCACACACCGACGCTCATCGCGACAGTAGTACCATCGATACTACTAAGCCGGGTACGCGCCTCCATTTCGACAATTTTTTCGAGTGCGTGTGTAAGTTTTTTTAATATATTTTGAAAATAGTCACTCTGACCCCGGTAGACTTTGGCATATCCGACCACTGCTGGTGGTACTTTTGGACTTTTGAGCAGAGGCACCGAACGTCGGGGGGTTTAGGAACCACTGTATAATGTATTGCGACTACGTAATTATGGACATCTCGGATATAAGTCAAGGTAAAAGAAAGAAAAATATTATATCGAAAAGTATTTTTGCTAAAAAAGGTATATTTTTTTTCAAATTAAAAGATATATTTTTATAGCATCTCATTATTTTATTGTTATGAATGAATTGTATTGTCCAAGAGTGGGTACATTCCTTTGGAAACATTCCACCGCGATCGCAAGGGCTTACTTAGCTTATATACAAATTTTACCTTCAACCAAACTTTTCAATATACCTTTCATCCTTGAAAAAATATTGTAAAATATAGTAAAAAGTTGTTTTGCAGCAAAAATATGCTCATCAGACCTGGGAGACATATACATATAGGTATATGTCTCCCAGGTCTGATGAGTATATTTTTGCTGCAAAACAACTTTTTACACTAACCTTTTTCGATAGAAATATTACAGTTCTTCGTAACTATTTTGACAAAACATAAACAGAATTATTTGATATACGGATGAATTTAAAATACCTAACAAAGATTTGAGCAATTATCTCTCTGTGTGATATCCAATCCATTTCTTTAACTAGATCGAATATGTGGACTTTCATAAACTTATAACCCAACTTTCAGTTATAGTATATAGGGTGATTCCTGTAAGTCGGTCATGCTTTCGAGGAATGATAGGGGACGTCGAAATATTAATTTTGATATAGCACACTATGGGTCGGTAATGCCTCTTACAATGAATACAGGGTGTTAAAGTTTTTGAAAAATTAAAGATATTCTTTAATAGTTTTTTAACAGTTGAAGGTATCGTTATAAAATTTTATTATAGGAATCTACCTAACAGAGACACTTTAAATGTAAAAAGAAGAGGTTTTAGTATCAACCAGTGGCGTAGATGTGATACGCATCGGGTAATTTTTTCAAAAAAAAATAGTACGCCACTAATAAAAATAAAAATTTCGGAGTTTTTTTATTTACTCGGTTTATTTTCAAGAAAAAATGTCTCTTGCAACTTTCTTCTATCTAACACCATTTTGTCACAATTTAAAAATAAATATTTTTTTAATGAGAACCTTAAATATGTGAATTATTATAACTACCTTAAAACTACGAATTTTATTATTAACAATAAAAAAAATTCTAGTTTAAATTTATAATTTTTTAAAAATTTATTTAGAGCTAATAGTAAAAAGTACTAAAGTTACCCAAGATGAAGGGAGCTAACGATGCACATGTGTTTCTGCCCTCTAGTTATAATAATTCGCTGTATTTAAGATTCTCATTAAAAATTTATTTATTTTTAAATTGTGACAAAATGGTGTTAGATAGGAGAAAGTTGCAAGAGACATTTTTTCTTGGAAATAAACCGAGTAAATAAAAAAACTCCGAAATTTTTATTTTTATCAGTGGCGTACTATTTTTTTTTTGAAAAAATTACCCGATGCGTATCACATCTACGCCACTGGTTGAAACTAAAACCTCTTCTTTTTACATTTAAAGTGTCTCTGTTAGGTAGATTCCTATAATGAAATTTTATAACGATACCTTCAACTGTTAAAAAACTATTAAAGAATATCTTAAATTTTTCAAAAACTTTAACACCCTGTATCTTGCGTAAGAGGCATTTCCAGCCCATAGTGTGCTATATCAAAATTAATATTTCGACGTCCCCTATCATTCGTCGAAAGCATGACCGACTTACAGGAATCATCCTGCATAGTTTGTTTCTGCCAATTTTACACATATTTTATTTTTATCTCGAAAACTATTAGAGATTGTTATTGGATAGTGTATTAGAAAAATTATGAGAAATAAGAGTAGGTAGGTAGATTCTAAAAATGTAATAATATACCAGGTGATTTAGTTCTATTTCTCACTATTTTACCTCTGTATGTTCCGTAAAAATTATATATTGTTACTCTAACTTTTATCTAAGTCAAAAAAACATATTTTTATATAAAATCCTTTAATTAAACTCGTCTTAATATTCTTTCTAGAATCCAAAAACCAAGTAATGTATTTCAGTTTAAAAATATTCAACTTTGATAATAATAATAAATAACGCTTTATTGTACAAAAAGCCAAAATAGCTTCATCGACAAAGCATTTACAAAACAAACAAAAGCACAAAAAATATACAAATAATAAAAAATATCATACAATACAAATAATACAATTCAAAAAAAATTATGTCATTAAAATGACTGCATTAATACATGGACATTGCAGAACACAAAAAAGGCGTATCAATAAAATTTTACAATAGGAAACAATGTAGGATACAATGTACAGATATAAAGCTAAATATATACCTTAATACATTAGCTCCAAAAAATTCATTCTGTCACAAATTGCCGTTCTCCTTGGAAAGTTCTAATAGTATGAGAGATGCCACTCTGTAGAGACAATAACATTTATTAAATTATTCCACAGAGACGTCTTATTCAATGGAGAAGATGCTGGGGGAACTCCTGTTGCTTCTCAGCGAGAGAGTCCAATAAAAATAATATTGTTGTCGACACACACAAAACCTCGTGTGTTTCGTTCACTTACGTACATACGTACAGTCGGTCATTCAAAGTCCATTCGATAGGTCGTGTTGTTGTTGCCGTGAGTTTTGAATTGTCGACGGAGCGATTTTTTCAACACTCTAATTCGGTAAAAGTGCGATTTTTACGTTTCTTAACGCGATCGCTGTTGCACAGGGTCAGTTTGGTTTGGTTTGGCAAATTTTGGCGAAGTGCGAGTGTAAGGTCGAAAAATCGTGGAAGTAACCGTTGAAAGTAAGAAGGGGGCTGTCAAAATGGGTCTCTTTGAAGGTACGACTTTTTATTAGAGGGAATCGACGTATTTTAGCTTTTTATACTTATTTTATTGTCTTAATTGATCTTTAGATTATTTGTTTTGCCTTTTATATGGTATTTTAGGATATAAATAGTTTCGCAGAAATATCATTATTTTTTATACAAGACAGACTGTAAAATCCAATTAAAAACATGAAATTCTAACTAAACGTATTAAACTTAAAAAAAGAAGAATGCTATGGAAGAAATTACATTGCAGGTATAGAATCAGCAATACCCAATAAGCCAGACGAAATTAAAAATAAATTAAGATGCGAGAACTAATATTTATTACGAATAATGTGAAAAAAAATTAAATCCAAACCCATAGAATTAAATACAACACAAAAAACGTATACAAAAATCTTAATAAATCAAAGGTATCTTTGAAAAATTGCCCACAAATAGTAATTTGTACTCAGGGCTAATAAATCAAATAAAACAGTTGAGATTTTTAATGCAAAAAATGATATAAAAATGTCATAAATGCTAAATGATGATTGAACAATTTATAAAAAACTAAAAAATAGTCCCACCAATATATATCAAAATAAAAACAATACATATGTAAAAAACTTTTAACTGAAAATAATATTACTGAACAAGAATATAAACATTTAACAATTTTTAATTCAGTCTCGAAAAATATACGGTATGCCAAAAATTCATAAAAACCACTTTCAGTATTCAATAATTTGTTTTATATTACGTTTATACTTTTTTTTACTCAATTGAATAATAATAATGGCCCCTCTACAGGTTGGGTGACGTTGGCCAATGCATGTGCCAATACGCTGACCAGTGCGTTGGGTCAACGTGTAGCGGCAAGCATTAGCGACCAATCCGTTTGTTGTGTTCACATCAAAGGGAGTTGGTATTCGCGCACCTTGGTTGGTGATATTTTGCTGTGTGTATACAGGGTGTCTCAATATTCCCAGGACGCAGGATATAGAACTACTACTTTTTTATATCAAAATAAGTTCATTGAACACAATTTACCTCTATACAAAAATGCTTCGTTTGCTCGTTAGATGGCATCAATGTTTAAAAAAATAAACACATTTTTTAGATATTTTAAGAACCGATATTCCGATTTGAACTAGATTTGGTATATCTATGTTTTGCTAAGTATTCTAACATTTGACCATCACAAAAAATTAAAAAAAGTACGGAAAGGGTGAGAACTACCCCCCTATTTAAATAATTTTAATAAAAATATTTTGCAATTCTACCGACGATTATATTTGATAGTATTTACGACGATAGTATTTACTACATTTTTCTATCTCTTGTAAAAAAACTATATCGCATAATTTTTGAGAAAAAAAATTGGAAAAAATGGAGAATTTTTTTCCAAAGCAGGCATACAAAATAAGCGTATTTTTTACATACGTATTTTTTACCCCCTATACAAAAGTGCTTCGTTCCTCCGTAGAGGGCATCAATAAAAAATAAACCCATACGTTAATTAATGTAAAATGTATGAAGCTTATAGATATCATTTGTGATTGAAGCTAATATAAAATTCCATATTTTTGCCAAATAGATTATTAAGACATACCTACTAGATATTATGCGTCTTTCAAAAAGTATGCGTGGTGGCAGGTTCTTAAAATAGACAAAAATGTAATAAATACTAAATACTACTTATAGCAGGGTCATTCTACGAAAAAAAATTGACACAAAAGTTCAGTTCAAAAAATTTTTGTACTAAAATTATGTAGGGATGGGGTTAGTTCACCCTTTCCGTACTTTTTAATAGTAAAATATTAGAGCACTTAGCAAAACATAGAAACACATAAATCTAGTTCAAATCGGAATATGGGTTCTTAAAATATCTTAAAAAATGTATTTCTTTTCAAAGTTTGATGTCCTCTGACTGATAAATGAAGCACGTCTTATAGAGGGAAATTGTGTCCAACTAAGAAGCCAAAGACCTACCCTAATTTTATTCGAATAGAAGCACTAACTTATTTTTTTAAATTTTGTTAGACATAGATATCTTACGTCAAATCATTGTGCAAATTTTTATGGCATAAGCTCCGAATTTTATTTTTTTCAAGCTTTTGTTGTATATGTATATTTGTTGTACTAAACAATATAGTTACGTTACCATAGCAACAAACGCTATCTTTAATTCGATGTTTAAAATATATTACATTCGTATTATTTATTAATAAACCGTATTACATTCATGTTTTAGTTGCATTTTATCCCCTTAAACGGCCTACACACGTAACGATTTATCGTACTGCGCGTTGAACTGCATATCGTAAAGAAAAATCGTACGGCTTGCAGTACAGCCATTTTTTGTACACACGATGCAAAACATTGTACTGCCGCAGTTCAGATTATTCACTATTCGTCGAGAAGGACTACCGTTATGTCAAGAATTTCGAAGAAGAAAGCTGCCGTGCTTGTAGCTGCGGTATTGCTGATAGATGAAGATGATGAACAAAAGGAAATCAAAAAGCGAAAATGGTGTAAAAAGTGTTTGATGGAGAGAAAAAAATATTCAAAAAAAAATAAAAAATAAACAAAATTTCATAACTGGAATTTCTTTTCATTTTATTTGGATATTCTTTTGATTTCAAATCCCATAGGCATCTATTTTCTCTATATAAATCAATAAAGTCTTCCCAGAACGACTTATTTTTTAAATCCATAATGTTGATTAAACCAAAAATAAATAAAAATTATATCGTAACTTCGCGTTGAGGCAGGGGATACACTCCACACGTTCAGACTTGCGTTCAAACTAGCGATGGGAACTATCGAATGAATTAGACTATCGAATGGTTACTGAATGAATGATTTCAACTATCGAATGGTTTCATTCGAATAAAATCATTCATTCATTTGTATACTAAAGCATATGTGACAACCTCGCCGTGCGACTAAATGGTTATCGTTAAGCCACGACTATCGAATGCTTTAGATAAATGAAATTTAGTATTCGTTTGATTTTTGTCTGCGTCGCGGTCGGTGCATTATTAGTTCTTCCAAATTTTTATAACTTGCCTTCTAAATACTGTGCTATTTTTGCGTTTATTAAAATATTTAAAATACTAAAGTAGTAGTGTTTTTTTTTAATTGACGATTGTGTACGTGTGCAGGTGGTCAAAATTTTTCCGAAAATTTGTGTGATTTTCCGATCTTTCAATTATTTAATTTTATACGGTATATGGTCTATTTTTTAATGGGAAATTTTGAGAAGTAACAATTTTTAAGAGAGATGAGGTGAACTTACAATTAATTTTAAAAATACATATGTATTTGTATTTTAGATGTTTTAGTAATATGAATTAGTTGAACTTAATAATCATATTTAAGTAATGTGGTAATGTGGTTAAGTAAATGGTTATCGAACTCAAATTTTGGGATGAGAAAATTAAATTGATTGATTAAAGTTTAATTAAAAAATTAAAAAAAAATTTTAAAAAAAAGTTAACGATATTTGTATTTTGTTTATGCTAATTCTCTTACATGTAGATTTTTGCGAAGAAATATTTCATTTATTTTTTAAAGTAAATGCCAGTAAAACCAAATATTATTTTTAAATACTAATACAAAGTAATAAACATATATAATTTTGATTTCTAATTTTTTATTTATATTTTTCTTCTATTACACTGCATGCTTAGAAAATTAATAAATGTTTATATTTCATGATGTTAAAATTTGTTGTTAATATAACAAATTAGTTCTGTAATTATTATTATTTAATAAACCAACGTTGCCAAAAAATTTAGAGACTATATTATTTTTAAATAGGATCTAATATAAATAATTTTAACTACTAATTTGTTGTTTATATTTTGCTACTACTTAAAAAAATGTTTATATTAAATGATTTTCAATTTTGGTGTTAATAGGTATAACAAATTATTACTGTTATTATTATTTATTAAACCAGTTTTGCCTAAAAACATTAAAAATCATTTTCCTACATCCAAAATAAAAAGTATTATTGCAGTGTAACAACCGAATATTAATAAAAAAAATGCAAAATATATGGTCATACTATCCCTAACTAACTATAATACCAAAGAATAATATTCTTTGCTAATACCAACTAATACGAATATACGGCAACAGCGCCGTTCATAATGTATTTTCTGTGTAAATACTTGCACCTCAATAAAAAAAATAATGTGTCCTTATCTTTATCTGACTCAAAATCAAAGATGCCGGCTTTTTTCATACCATTGCCACCGACCGCCGACCGCTGTCGGGTTTTTAGGAAAGAAACCTACGTCGCCGGGCGACAACTAAAATCCAGTTTATATTTTATTATAATCGATCCTGACGAATAAATGAATTTTACAAATGAATGAATTTTATAAATGAATGGTTTTTGCTGCCGAATTAATATATTTCAAGGCAGATGACGCATCTATTCGATATTTTTATTCGAATAGTTTTCGACGAATGTTTTCTTATTAGCTATCGAATTAGCTTTTGTGATCTTTATCTGACTCAAAATCAAAGATGCCGGCTTTTTTCATACCATTGCCACCGACCGCCGACCGCTGTCGGGTTTTTAGGAAAGAAACCTACGTCGCCGGGCGACAACTAAAATCCAGTTTATATTTTATTATAATCGATCCTGACGAATAAATGAATTTTACAAATGAATGAATTTTATAAATGAATGGTTTTTGCTGCCGAATTAATATATTTCAAGGCAGATGACGCATCTATTCGATATTTTTATTCGAATAGTTTTCGACGAATGTTTTCTTATTAGCTATCGAATTATTCGAATGAATTGTAACTATCGAATGTTTCGATAGTATTCATTCGATAGTTCCCACTACTAGTTCAAACCCCACCCCAGACATGACCCGTTGATACGATATTTTACGGAAGCGATTTTATATATTTTACGGAAGCGATTATTAAACGATTTGAGGACTGCATACTGCAAACCATCCAATTTTCCTACACACGCTACGATTTATCGTTAATGCGGC